TGGCTGTCGTGATCACTGCTGTGGTCCCCTCATGCAGGGGACACACCGGACCCCTAGACTGCAGGTGCCACCACCCTTGCCCACCCCCTGATCTTTCCCAAACACCTACGGAATAGCCACACAGGTCAACAACAGCTAATGTAAAATAGTGATTATGTCAATATACTGTAATAAAATTTATTTTAAAAATTTACTTATGCTGAGTGCAGGGGCACATGTCTGTAATCCCAGCAGCTCTGGAGGCTGAGGCAGGAGGATCACAAGTTCAAAGTCAGCCTCAGCAACTTAATGAAGCCCTAACCAACTTGGAGAGACCCTGTCTCTAAATAAAAAATAATAAAAGGGCTGGGGATGTGGCTCAGTGGTGAAATGCCTCTGGGTTCAATCCCTGGTAGCAAAACAAACAAAAAATTCTTATGAATTGCTCATTTCTAGAATTTTCCATTTTATATTTCCAGGCTGTGATTGAATGCAGGTGAGAAAAGTGAAATGGTAGAAGGAACCAGGCAGGGGACCAGCATATTGCCTCTGATAGTCCAGGGGCTGGACGGCTCCCTCGGAGGGTTTTGTCCTTGTGAGGGTGCCTGGGGCCCTTCCCAGGCTTCCCCATCTCCATCTTGTGCCTGGGCCTGGAGAATCTCTGGCTGGGGCTGCTAGGTTTGGGACTGGTGGGCATCTCCAGTGTGACTGTGCCCCCAGCACCGTGGTCTAGAGGACGCTGGGTGGGTAGGCTGGCCCAAGGCCCTCGGGGCTGCAGCTCTCTGGGGTGCGTCACCTGTTGTGGCCCAGGACAGAGTGACTTCCCGCAGTCCATTCACAGACCACACCCCAGGCCAGCGCGTATTCCAGGTGGGTGGGAAGTAGTTCAGAACCCAGAACCCGGCTTTTTACTGTCACTCTCACCCTCTCGGTACACCGGCTATTGTGACCATTCTATAGGGAAATGAGAAGACCTGCAGATTTGCCCAAGGCCACGAAGGGGGTCGCCTGGGCCAGACTCCTATCACGACGTGCAGACCAGCCACACAGGGCTTGCTGGGCACTCCTCGCAGGGCAGACAAGCCACACGGGTCTCCCTGGCGCAGGGCCAGCGGCAGGCACTGCCGGGGCACTTCTTGCTGGGAAGCACCTGCAGCAGGCCCAGTAGGCAGCCTGCCTGGGAGGGCTGATGGGAGGAGCAGCCCCCGCAGGACCAGTGGGCTCCAGGAAGGAAGCACCTCCCCAGTGCAGGGCCACGTCCTGCTTGGTCGAAGGCCACGGGGCAGTCCTGCGTGGAACACTGTGACTGTCACCACGTGCCTCCCACCAGGCCCCTCGGACTCCAGCAGCCAGAGAAGGAGGATAAACCCAGGAAGCTTCAGGTGTTCAGGGCAATGGGACAGGCAGGGGCTGTGCCTTGGGGCTGGGAACAACCATAGCCAGCCCTGCTAATGAGCTAGCAGACATCCCACAGAGGCCCTGGTGGCCACGAAGGGTTCCCAGGTCCCCATGTGCTGGGGTGTATACCGTGTGAGTGCATGGGAAAACCAGAGACACCTGGGCCTACCCAGCAGGCGGCTGGGAGGGGCACTCAGCAGCCCACAGAAAAGGCAGCGTTTTGCACCTGTGGACACTGAGCAAGCTGGAAGAGTCCACTTGGATAGTGAGCAAGCTGGGAGGGTCCATGGGGACAGCGAGCAAGCTGGGAGGGTCCACAAAGAACATAGCGTCTGTTTGGGAATCCAGGCAGGTGCCTAAGTAGGCAGGTACCCAGGTGGGCACAGGTGGGCAGGTGCCCAGGCAGGTAGATGCCTGAGTGGCAGGTACCCAGATGGGCAGGTGCCTAGGCAGGCCAGTGCCCAGGTGGGCAGGTGCCTTAGTAGGCAGGTACCCAGGCAGGCACAGGTGGGCAGGTGCCTAAGTAGGCAGATACCCAGGCGGGCACAGATGGGCAGGTGCCCAGGCAGGTAGTGCTCAGGTGGGCAGGTGCCTAAGTAGGCAGGTACCCAGGAGGGCACAGGTGGGCAGGTGCCCAGACAGGTAGATGCCTGAGTGGCAGGTACCCAGGTGGGCAGGTGCCTAAGTAGGCAGGTACCCAGGAGGGCACAGATGGGCAGGTGCCCAGACAAGTAGATGCCTGAGTGGCAAGTACCGAGGCGGCACAGGTGGGCAGGCAGACAGGTGCTCAGGCAGACAGGTGCCTAGGTAGGCAGCCCATGTGGGCAGGTACCCAGCTGAGTAGGTGCCCACTCAGGCAAGTACCCAGCTATGCAGGTGCCTAGGTATGCAGGTACCCAGGCAGGCACCACTTGAACTTGACCCTTCTCTAATCCCCACCCTGAGCCACCCCTGGCTGTCTCGGGTGCCCTGAGGCACCTGCTCTCTTCCACAGGAGCTCCCCCCCCACCTCTAACACGCCTGGCGTGGGGACGCCTCCTGCCCCATTAGTCACACCTTCCCTGCCCATGGGGTCAAACCTGGTGTGCGGGGTTATCTGTGTCCAGAGCTGATTCCTCAACCAGGCCGTCAGGGGGCCAGGGCAGAGGGTGTCACTCATGCTTGTGACATCTGCATCTGACAGCTGTCACCACAGGTGAGCAGAATGCAGGGAGCCTCCTCAGCACTGCTCTGGAGGCCTGGAGGCTCGGGGACCCATGCAAACCCACCCCGCTGGGCTGGGGGCGATTTTATTCAATGGTTGACTTTAAAAGTCATTAAAAGTAAATTAATTTTAAAACGTTTTTGAAGCTTCAAATAACATGTTCATTGAAAATCTTAAATACAGAGTATACAAAATTAAATGTTAAAAATCCTTTCTTCTAATCAATTTCCCAGACACAACTATCAGTACAATTTTTGTTTTTCTGATATACATAATTCATACACCATACAGTTCACCCACTTAAGGTGTACAACTCATTGTTTAGGGTTGTGTAATAATCCCCCCAAAATTTTAGGGCATTTTAAAAATATATACATATTTTTAGTTGTAGGTGGACACAATACCTTTATTTTTATGTGCATCTGAGGATCGAACCCAGTACTTCATGTATGGTAGGCAGTGCTCTACCGCTGAGCCACAACCCCAGCCCCATTTCAGGGCATTCTTATCTCCCCACAAAGAAACTGTTTCCACTGTCAATCCACTTCTCTGGCCCCGGCCTCCTCCTAACCTTTACCGGCCACTCATCCACTTTCTGTCTCTGTAGACTTGCCTATTCCTGGACGTTTCATGTATGGAATCATTCCAGATGTGGTCCTGTTATGTTAGCTTCCTTCCCTTAGGGTCATGTCTTGAGGGTCATCTGTGCAGTAGCATTTGACAGTACTTCATCCTTTTTTATTGATGAATAGTGTTCCACTGTATGAATCTGGAACATTTTGTTTATCCTATCATCAGACACTACTTATGTTGTTCAGATCACCTGGGGTTCAATTTCTCTGGGACAAATTCCGGCTGAGTGACCTTGGGTAAATCAGTCTTTCCAAGCCTGCCTCGATTGCTCCAATTACAAAATATGCATAGTTGTGGATCTACTCATAGCATGTCATGATCGTCCTGCGACAGTATCAGCACCTGTGAGCAACCTGTGGCGTGCCCAGCACCCTGTAAGGGTCACCCTGCGGCTTACAGCCCGGGGCCGAGGCCAGAGGATCACAAGAAGGGCAGATGGTGGGCTGCCAGGGGCAAGGCCCTGGGCTGCACCCCAGCTCTGTGAACGGTCCTCTCAGAGGAACAGGTACTAAGTACTGGCAAAGGTCGGGACAGGAAAGCCTGAAAAGCCCCCTGACGGCCTGGACTCATCCTTCGGAGACCGCTGGCGCCGCCTCACTTCCCAAGGGGAAAATTCCAAACACACAAAAAGTAGTGAGATGAGGACACTAGCCTCCACCCGACTCTCCCTATCCCTAGTCATTTGTTTTCTATGCCCTTTTTTTTGGTGGGGAGGTTTGAACCAGGGCTTAACCACTGCGCCACACCCGCTGCAGGGTCTTGCCGAGTCGCGATCCTCCTGCCTCAGCCTCCTGAGCTTCTGGAACTCCAGGCGTGTGCCACCGCGCTGGCTTGCCAATTTTACATAGTTTTATTTAAGGCATTGTATTTTCCACGTGCGATACGGCGATTACAGCGCGCCATGGTATTTTCTTTCCCCCCAGTGCACATGCGGCACATTCAAGTATGGAGAATACCAATTGCCCCGGAATTCGCTACAGATCTGGGCCCTCCCATGTTTCAGCGTGTGTAACTGAGCTACCCCTGGATCGCGCTGCTTCCTCGACTGCAGGAGATTTCTTTAACATTTAACCCAACTAACAAGCAGAAAAGCGCAGTGCACTGCCCACTCTCCCGCCCCGGGCTCCCGGCTTCCCCACGCCGCACAGCGCCACGAGCCCAGCCTCTTTCCTGGGAAGGGTCCCGGGGCTGCTACGGCTCGCACGGGGCCGGCTTGTCAGAGCTCTAATGAAACCTGGACCGCGCATACAAGGCCCAGCCACGGACGGGGCAGGACTCTGGCTGGGCGAAAGGCAGAGTCCACCCGAATCGCTGGGGCGCGCGCTCCCGACGGCTCTGACGCGCAGTAGTGCGGACGGCGTGCGGCGCGCGCCCCCGACGTGCAGCGCGAGGTCCGGCTCGGCGCAGCGCTGCCCTCCCGGCGTGCACCTCGCGCTCCCGGCGTGCACCGCGCGCTCCCGCCGTGCACCGCGTCCCTCCGGGCCTGCATTGCGGCGCGCGGAGCCCGCGGCCCCTCATCGCAGAAGCGGCAGCGCGGCAAGCGGCCGCCGTCGTGAGGCCGGACAACATGGAAGTGTAAGCCGCCCTGGGACCCTGGCGGAGTGGGCAGCGCGGCGGGGCGGGGCGGCAAGCCCCGGACTCCTTGGCGGTCGGGCCGCGGGCCCGCGACGCGTTCCAGGTGCGCGGGCCTCCTGCTGCGTGCGCAGGTGAACCGCGAGTCTCAGACCGTCCCCGGCGCGGGCGTCAGTCCCAGGGCCCGATGGGGGGACCCGAGCCGCGCCTGCAGCCCCTGCTTTTTTCTTTTGACACTGTGTTCGTGCAACTCGAAGAGAAAGTTTCCCGAACCAACACTTGTCCGGCTGCAATATTCTGACGTCATCTATTCTCTTACTGAAAGTATCGACCCATCAAAGTTTTTAACCCACTTATGAGGTCTAAACTGTGACTTGAAAGACACCCGTAGTCTCCTTTCTGCAGATTCCTCAGATCCGGGGACACTCAACATGGCACATAAATGGCGCAGAATTTGCTGGGGAATTATAATTGCACGTCCTCCCATAGTCTTTAAATCATCTTTGGGTTACTTACACAGTAAGTGCTAGTAAATGCTATGGCAGTAGTTGTATTGCATAGGGAATAATGACAAAAGTGTGCACAAGGTCAGTATGGACACTTTTTTTGCTAATATTTTTGGTCTGCACTTGGTTAAATCCAAGGATTCAGAACCTGCAGATCAGGAGGGCTGACTGTATAATACACTAGTCTGAAGTTGTCATTATTATTTCTCCCTCTTCTAGAACATTTTCTGGCAGCATACAAATTTGCTCTAATTTGTCCAACTTAAAAAAATCTCTTGTCCCCACATTCATATCTACCTGTAGCTCTGTTTCTGCTTCCCATCTGTTTTCTGCTTGGGTTTTGAAGATTAACTCAGGGGTGCTTTATCACTGAGCTACATCCCCAGCCCTTTTTTTTTTTTTTTTTAGTGTTTGAGATAGGGTGTTGCTAAGATGCCGAGTGGGCTTCAAACTTGCTATCCTCCTGCCTCAGTGTCCTGAATCACTGGGATTACAGGTGTGTGCCACTGCACCCGCCTACAACGAAATTTCTTAAAGTGTTGTTTATCCCCTTATTCTGTCCACCATTCTGTTGGACTTTGTTTCTGTCTACTAAAATGGCTTCTGTGAAGATGGTCTGAGCACTTCATCTTGTCAAATCCAAAGATTCTTTTTTCTGGCATCAACTGTCTTGATCACTCAGCAGTTGATAGACAAACTAGAAACTCTATGACGTGCACTCCTGGACTTCCTTGTGCATTGGACTACTTCTCAGCATCTTTTCCTGTCTCTTCCCTTGCTCTGTGTCTAAATGTTGAGATATCTTAGGGCTTAGTCCTGGAACCCCTCTCTTCATATTTGCTCTGTCATTTTACTCATCCATATGCTAATGGTTCCCCAAAGTGTATTTCTGGCTTTTATCATCTGCCGGATTGCTTAGATTTAATTAATAAATAAATAAATAAATCTTCCTCTTTCCTCACTCCTAACAGCCAATTTGTTATTTATACCTTAGAATGCAATTTGAATTTAGAATACATTTTGAATGCAATTCCTTTCCACCTTCTCCACCCAGCCTTGGAGTCCATCTTCGGTGGTCTGGGTTAGCACTGGCCTTTTTGGCTTTCACCCTTGCCACCCTTTCCATTTTATTCTCCACACAACAACCAAAGTGATCTTAAACTTTAGCTGGACCAGGTCACCTCCTGCGTAAAACCCTTCAGTGGCCTTCCATTGCACTTAGAGGAATATACATCTCTTGCTGCCTTAACCCAGCCTTATCTCTTGCCACCCTCCCTTCCTCCACCACACACACACACATGCTTACTGCTTAATAGGTAGTTCCTGTGCCCTTCCGAGCTCTTTCCTGCCTCAGATCTTCGTGTTGCTCTTCTTTCTGACTGGTATACTTTTTCTCCTGCCCTTTGTCTTATTCAGGTTGAATGTCCCTTTTCAAGGTTACCCGCCCTATTTCTTCAGTCCAAAATAAGTCTTCTTTTTTGTCTCATAGCTGCTCGGTTCACTTTTCCCTTAAATAATTGTAAGTGGTAATAATAGAAGGTTGTTTACTTCCCTAGTCCATAAGGGCTGGGACTGGTATCTGTTCACCTAGTGCTTAGCACTGCATCCGCCACAGAGTAGGCATTCAGAAAATGTGTGTTGAATATAGAAATATAACAGTGTTAGTTTAATAAATATAAATTAACTGGCTAGCGTCCTGACTGGTGGGCATATAGATTTTCTGATTTTCCTAAGTGAAACAGATGAAGTTAGTGGTTTTTACTCCTATAGCAACCTAACAACTTCTCCCAAGAAGTTATTGGCTTATTGAAACCATTCAAGAAATTTTCAGCTATCAACTTATAGAAAGTGAAGTCTGCTGGGGTAGATAATGTGGTTTGGTAGTGGAAGGATCAAGAGGCCTCACTTCTAGTTCTGTGTGGCCTCAAGCATGAGGTGTGACCTCTGGCAGTTTGGTCTCCAGCATCTTCAGTAGAATCCTGAGACTCTGAGGGCACTCCAGGGACCTGAAGTGAGGAGGCACAGGGGAAAAACTTATCCTGAGGTTTTTCTTTTTTCTTCAGTTATGATGTAAATACCCACTGAGTAAATAACACACATACATATTTCAGAAGTTTCTTAAACATGTATGTTTATTTATTTTTAAATTTTTGTTTTTGGGTACCAGGGATTGAACTCAGGGGCACTTGACCACTGAGCCACACACAACCCCAGCCCTATTTTATATTTTATTAAAGACAGGGTCTCATTGAGTTGTTTAGTGCCTCGCTAAATTGCTGAGGCTGGCTCTGAACCTGCGATCCTCCTGCCTTCACTTCCTGAGCTGCTGGGATTACAGGCATGCACCATTGCACCAGGCCTAAACATGTATATTTATTTGACCAAATGATAATTTAAAAATTTCTTGACCAGGCAGGGTTGGGGGTATAGCTCAGTAGCTCAGTGGTACATCACTTGCCTGGCATGAGGCCCTGGGTTTAATCTCCAGCTCTGCCAAAAAATTAAACTTCTTGATCATTGTTAGGAAATAATGTCTCAGGTAAAAGGACATAAAGTAGTCACAGCAAGTTTAGCAGCTCTATGAGCAAACAACTTTTTTTTTTTTTTTGTACCAGGGATTGAACCTAGGGATACTTAACCACTGAGCCACATCCCTAACCCCTTTTTAAAAAATATTTTGTTTAGAGACAAGGCCTTGCTGAGTTGTTGAGGGCCTGGTTAAGTTGCTGAGACTAGCTTTTAACTCATGATCCTTCTGCCTCAGCCTCCTGAGTTACTGAGATTATAGGCATGTGCCACCATGCCCAGTATGAGCAAACAGCTTCTTGACCATTGTTTGGAAGTGATGGCCTCAGGTAAAAGAACAAAAAATAGTCATAGCAAGATTAAGAACTGTTCTTTGTGAGGCATTTACTGTTAAGCTAATTTTGTCTGGTTCTTTGGAATCATGTGTGTACCTGGAAAGCTCTTTGTTTCCTCTTGAACTTAGTGCACAGAGTAAAGAAAGTGGATACTGTTGTCATTTGTGTCATTTTTTGAGGATTTTTTCAGGATTTCTTCCACTTTATAGCTAAAAATACTGAGGGTCGAAAGTTAGTATGTAGGTAGTGATTTAGTAACAGGCCTGGAAAGAGGAGGCTTGCTGGTTGATTTCAGAGATGTTGCTACAGCTGACTTCTGATTTTGAAGCCTGTGTAGCTTTCTTGTACCAAAGCTTAACTTTTGAAAACATGAATTGATAGCATAGGTTGAGCATGGAAATTGAGCAATTCTGTTCGTCATTGCATTCGTAAGTTAACTGTGTGGCAATTAGTAGACGCTGTTTGTGTGGGCTTTTGTTTGTGTGCTTTTAAGGAAAATCTGTCAATAGATCATTTTGTACTGTTTATTTAGAATTTGGTTTTCCACAGTAGTTGTTCACATTCGTTAAATTGACTCAGCAAGTTAAATAGATTTTACAGGTCAAATTTCAAATAATCAGTTTCAGCCCAGTAAGTCATTATGTAAGGAAACTGTAGCTAGGAGTATAAATTCAGTCTTTAAAATTCATTTGGAATATTTAAGCACCAATAAATCAGTACTAAGTTTTACAGAAGAATTTCATACTTCTGCGTGGGTGGGCAGTTTCTCTAGTCTGAGCGCATGTGAATGTGTTCATGACATCAGGTTTTGGCTTCGGAGAGAAGTGCCTGCTCTGCAGGGATCAACATTTTATAAGTGTGTAGTTGACAACATGCCAGAGGACGGATTTTTTGTAGCTCTCAAAGGCATTGAATAGAAGTGTATTTTATATCGTCAATTATAAATTATAGCGGTGACTTTTTTTAACCTTATGAATTCTTTATTTTACATGTCCATTTTCCTCAACTTTTTAGGTTGAAACATTTCAGACCTAAGGAATAGTTGCAAAAGTAGCACTCAAATACCTTTATACCCTTTACCTAGAGTTACTTGTAAACATTAAAAAAATTTTTTTTGATCGTAGGTGGACACAATACTTTTATTTGTTCATTTTTTATGTGCTGCTGGGGATTGAACCCAGTGCCTTATGCATGCTAGGCAAATACTCTACCACTGAGCCACAACCCCAGCCCACTTGATGTGATGTTTGCTGTATTTCGTTTGTACATGCACAAGCTGTCTTTCCATTCAGTGCATTCATACCCACATCCTCCCCCCACCCCGCGCGCACGCGCACACACACACACACACACACACACAGTTTACTGTATCACCTAAGAGTTGTAGCCCTCATGTTATCCCACCTCTTACTGAAAAGGGGCATTATCTCATGTAACACAGAACCATTGCCACACCCAGGAAACTGAAGCACTGATGTAATTACTATTATTAAAATAGTGCATATTCACATTTCTTCTCTTAGCCAATAATGTCATTTTAGCTGAGGTTTTTTTCCTCTGCTTCAGGATCCAGTTAAGAATTGTGCATTGCATTTAGTTGGCATGATTCTTTCATTTTCCTTACAACAGTTTTCTTAGGCTTTGTCTGCAACATTGGCCTTGTGACAGTGATGTTGATATTTGAAGAATCTAGGCTGCTGTTTTGAAGAATGTTCCTCAGTTTGGAGTTGTCTGATTAAATTCTCATGATTAGATTCAAATTAAACTTTTTTTTTTTTTGGCAGAGTTGCTTTAAGGCATGTGTCTCAGTGCATCACATCCTTATTATTGGTGCTGTTAAATTGTATAACTTGATTAAGTTGATATCTGTCTGATCTCATATCTTGTTCCCAACAACCTGTCACTTAACTCCTTGAAGTTAAAAACTTACTTTAAAGGAGTTTCCTAGTGTATATAGCTTATTTAGACCTCCATAAAAGACAGATATTGTATTCATTGGCCTTTTTTGGGACTGGGTGGGGGAATAATGGGGACTGTACCAGACTTTGTTGATGTTAAGCAGTGTTCTACCATTAAAGTACCAACCAGCCCTCACCCGCATTTTACTGAATAAAGGAAGGCCTAGTATATATTGGCATATACTCATATAAATGGGTAAAAAATTATTTATATGAAAGAACATCAATGAATGCATTAGCTTCTGCCAGCAAGAGTGTACAAGATGCAGTTCTTGTTTAAACATCTGTTCTTCTCGTAGTTTAAACATAGATTCATTAAAATGTATGTTAAGGGACTGGGGGGTAGCTCATTGGTAGAACAGTTGCTTAGTATGCATGAGGCCCTGGGTTCAGTCTCTGCACTGCAAAAAATTAAATGTATATGAAAGAGAATTTCCCTTCTCTTCCTATATCCTAGAAAAGGCAGCTTATATTCTTTGGATTCTTGCACTAATTATTGACTGAGTAGTGGGGCAGTAACTTGGAAAGGCCTAGGATGAATCTATCAGGGAATGGAATATTCTCCATGATAGAGGGACAGGGTTTGTTTTGGAAATGAAGTTGTAATAACAGCACCTGGGATGGATCCATTGGCTCTGAAGAAAATTGACATTTGTACTTTTCCCCCATTCTACTGTTCCTAAAAGGAATGTCTTAGTGCCTTGACATCATAGGTACAAAATGCTCCTTTGAGAATATGGGGAGTTGTAACTCAGTTTCTGGCAAAGATTGAAGGGAGCCTTATGATGGATTTCCTGATTAAGTAGACACTGTTTGGTTTATCATGTTCAATTTTAAATGAACCATATCACATAATACTGTTGTCCTTCCTGGATTGGGTTCTTTTTAAAAATAATATTGCATGTGACCTGAGTCCAGTGTGATTATTGGGCAAAGCAGTACATTTGTGAAATGGTAGCCATTTGTTGAATTACTGCTAGTATTTGAGTAAGCTTTGTGTGCTGATGACCTTGGGTCATGGTAAGTCCCCTTGATAAGCTTCTGCCAGCTTTGCTGTATTTGTTGACTGGGGGAATCACCCATCTGTTTGCCTCACTTTTAAAGTTTTATCATTGCCATTTTCATCGTCTAGCTCCACTCCTATTTTAAGAATATATAGTATTCCCTGTTGCCCATTATGTCAGATCCAGACTACCCAATGTGAATTTCTGGATTCTGATTATTGGTTTCCATTCATCTAATCCAGTCTCATTTTTCACTATTCTGTAGTTATCTTCCAGTTTTAGTTAGACTTCTTACTGTGTGACCTGGAGCTGATTACTTAATCTCTGAGTCTCAGCTTCATTATTTATAAAGTAGAGATCATACTAATAGCTCCTGTGTCACAGGAATTTTAGTGAGAATAAGGGTGATTATCTTTTAATAATAAAAGGGGCTAGGGTTATAGCTCAGTGGTAGAGCACTTGCCTAGCATGTGGCACTGGGTTCAATTCTCAGCACTGCATATAAATAAATAAAGGTCCATTGACAACTAAAAAAATATTAATAGCCTTTATTTATAGAGATCTTAGTAAGTACCAAGAACTGTACTAAGTTTCTCGTTAGCAGTTTTATGAGGTAGGAAGAGGTGGTAGTGGTAATGGCTAAAGTCATAGTAATGATAATAATAGCATTTATGGAGCTTACTGTTTTCAGATACTCTTCCTGTTTCAGTTTAATCCTGTGTACACTTGTATTTTATAGATAGGAAACTTAAGCATAACTATAAAATAACTCCCAAATTCACTTAGCTAGTGCATGATGAAGTTTGGTTTAGAATCCAGGCTGCCCTTCCAGATTTGGAATTATCCCCATTTCTTGTTTTAGAGGGATATACTTAGAAATTGATGCACTAAAACTTACACACCTTATACGTGGCAGGGCTGGGTTATGTACCCAAATATGTCTGACTTCAAAATTGTGTTCTGGATTGGCATACTGCACTGGCTCTAGGGTTCTGAAAGTAAATACTTTCTGATGTGATATTGTAGGGTACATCAGTTATAATTTGACATGTCACATTGCTGTGTTCAGTCATACATGAAAGATGATAGTTTGCACTGTTTGGTTCTCAGGTGCAACAGGCTTTTAACGACTGCCCCATGTAGAGACTCTTGAGTTGACAGAGGATGAACACATTAACGTTTTGTGGATGTCTCACAGGATTCCTGGCCATTGCTGGAATTCCTGGTGGATGTTAGGTAGGACACTGTATCAGGTAGATCATTTCTGTTGGCCAATGGGAAGGGGCCCTGGGTTCAGAAGGGAGCGGCACTTGGTTTCTCCAGGCATCTCTGGCACCCACACTGTCACTGTTCCTTGAACCCTCTGTCCTCTATGGTCTTGCCCTCCTGTTCTTCCTGTAGTTCATTTCTCCATGCTGTCCGACCGCCTTCACTTCCCAAGTGCTGAACTCCAGCCTACGTGGATTTGGAATAAGTGTCGTGTTTTAGTCACCTGCCTGCTGATGGGTGTGTGATATGCTGTGTCTATAAAAAGGAGAGTCTGCTCTGAAATTGTCTTCAGCCTGATAAGACGTGTAGGACTTAGGACGTTTCTCAGTTTTAGGTTCCTGAACTAGATGACTAGCTCTTGATAACAGAATTATTTTACAAGAAGAACGCTCAGGAAGGCTGTGAGCCTGGACTGATGATGGCTTCTTTTCTTTTGCAGGAAGGATGCAAGCTCTGCACTGCTCAGTAACTATGAGGTAAATAGCTCTACAGTGGGTCCTTCTCTTTCCTTCCTCATTGCTTGCCCTTCGATGTAAGGATTATTGATTAGAAATCATTGAATTCATTTGGATTTTCTGCTCTAAAACAGGACAATTGGCACTATCTGGTGGACCTTGAAGTACGCTAAGCTTGTTACTTTGGGGAGTCTGGTAAACTTTGGTTTATAATAGGTCCCTTTCCCTAAGTCCCAGAGATTGTAGGTCATCTTTTGGGATGCCCTCAAGGAACAGAAGCATTTGTTTTAGAGCCATTTCTGAGTGCCCACACAAGTTTCTTAGTAAAACATTTATACCTTTCTTTTTTTAAATGTATTGGGGATTAAGCTCAGGGATACTTGACCACTGAGCCATACCCCAGCCCTAGTTTTTGTATTTTATTTAGAGATAAGAGTTTGACGGAGTTGCTTAACTCCTTGCCATTGCTGAGGCTGACTTTTTTTTAGTTATAAGTGGACGTAACACCTTTATTTTATTTTTATGTGGTGCTGAGGATTGAACCCAGTGCCTCACGCATGCTAGGCAAGTGCTCTACCTCTGAGCCACAACCCCATCCCCACTGAGGCTGGCTTTGAACTCGGATCCTCCTGTCTTAGCCTCTTGAACCACTGGGATTACAGGTGTGCGCCACTGTGCCTGGTTTATGCCTTTTCTTAATTATCATCCTTGACTTATAACATGCTTATGTTACTTTGATCTTTAATAGTCACAAAGGTATTAACGTCCTCATTTTGAAAGTAAGAGTTCAGTCAACTCACCATTATGAATAATTTAATAAGGGATTAACAGGTTTTTAATTTTGGGGGCTTGAGGGTAGAGCTATTGGTGAAAGACAGGAAAGGGAAATATAATGGTATTTTCACCTGCCTCCTGCTTTGCCTGGATCTTGTTTGGTACTAGCAAAACCATTTGATGGGTTAGTGCCAGGTGTAGAATGAGCCACGTCAGTTTTCTACACATCCCATCAAAGGCCAGACTTGTGGAGATGTGGAGGAAACCTGGGTCTCTGGCTTATGCTTGATGTGTATGCAGAATAAATGCAGTTGGGCATGCTGGTCTTAAAGGTTAACCCTTGCATGACTGCTGCTTGTGATAGGAATGCAGTGGGGTGAGGCCAAGCCATTGGCTCTCAGGAATCTCCATGTCCAGCTTGGATTTGGTGTGGTGTTTGGGGGGAACACAGCGTTCATTGAGTCTTGTGCCACTCTTTCTGAAAGGACTAGTTGGTAGGAAGGGTTTGCGTTGCACCCAGTTATGGTCTCTGAGCCTCTGTTGCCCTCACCTTTCTGGTGGAATCTCAAACAGGAAAGACAGACCACCCACCCCCATTCCAATACTAAGGCAGATATTTTTTCTTTGTGGGGAAAGTTTACTATTTAACATCTACAGCATTTTTAGATTTTTATTTATTTAGGCGTGCTGGGACTGCACCCAGGGCCTCATATAAGCTAGGCAACTCCCTGTCACTGAACTACACTCTCAGCCCATCCATTTTTTTTAAAGAACTATCACTTGCCTCAGAATTTTTTCTTTTTTTCTTTCTCTTGTTTTGGGACCAGGGATTGAACCCAGGGCCTTGCACATGCTAGACAAGTGCCCTACCATTGAGCTACTTCGCCAACAATTTTTTTCTTATAGAAAGAAATTATACTAAATATATGTATTAGGCAGACTCCTTTTAAAAAAATATTTATTTTAGGAACATTTACTTTGGAATAGTGAATATGGCTTTGAGATCAAAATCAGTAATGTAGTATATATTGATAGGAAACATTTGAAATATTTTAATTAAACTAATGAATGTATTCAGTGTAGATAAAAGAACGCTTAAAATTGTCACCGTGGGCTGGGGTTGTAGCTCAATGATTGAGCACTTGCTTTGCATGCATGAGGCACTGGGGTTCAATCTTTGGCATCACATAAAAAAAAAATAAATAAAAACAAAGATATTGTGTCCATCTACAACTAAAAAAAATGTTTAAAAAAAAAAGTCACCTGCTTCTGGGATGCATTTGCTCTAAACCAAGAGTTGAGAGGCTGGTTTATGGGAAGTAAGGAGGTATTAGACTTTTTATTTCCCCTTGAAACCTTGTAGTAGGTACGTTTCTCAGATTTACAGGAATCTTTTGTGTGTCTCTTGCTAGGTGTTCCAGTTACTAACTGATCTGAAAGAGCAGCGCAAAGAAAGCGGGAAGAACAAGCACAGCTCTGGGCAGCAGAACCTGAACACCATCACCTACGAGGTGAGCCCGGCTGCTAAAGCCCGCCTAAGCCACCGCTGGGAGGCGGTGTACTCTGCTGATGGCTGGCTTCTTCCCTGATTGGAGTGGGTTGGCAGTAACCTAGGTTCTGTTGTTTAGAGAGGGAGTGGAGTGGAAGACTGCGTTCACTTGTAAACATGTTGTACCTTTGGGGCTTTCCCCCTGAACCTTCCTCAGATTCAGCGGTTCCCTGGGAGTAGGCTCAATGAAAGCCATCATTTATAGTTACTCCGTGTTTCAGGGAAAGGATGCAGATGAAAAGTGACCAAAGGGCTGGGGAGGCAGTTTTGTGGTAGTGTGGGAGGCCATCCTCGCACGTGATTTGAGTTACCTCGCTGGCTGGGTGAGAGGCGCTTAGACACAGCTGTGTTAGAGCCTTCTCCACCCTTTCCCATGTCCGAGGGCTTGTCCGTGCAGAGGCATGCCTGGCCACTGCCCTGAAGACCCAATCATCGCCTCTGACCTTGGGATGCCACCCCCCTTAACCTTCACTGGATGGGAATTTCCCTTGAATTTTTCGTTCCTCAATAAAAGCCCACTCCCTGGCGTGTTCTCTCTCTTTCGCTAGTCTCTTCTGTAAACCTCACCACCGCATTAGGTGGCTGGAGACGGGAGCTAGGAGAAGCCATCTCAGAGCTGGTATTAAAGGTAATGAGAGTCTTGTCTCTTAAAACTCCCTAGCAATTACTTATGAATCGAACCTTCTTTCATGAAGCCAGCGCTGGTCGCGTGGCAGATGGTAGAGCATATACCTAGCATGTATGAGGCCCTGGGTTTGATTCCCAACACTGCATTTAAAAAAATCTCTTATTTAGCCAGGCACCATGGCATATGCCTGAAATTGTAGCTACTTGGGAGGCTGAAGCAGACGGATTGCAAGTTTGAGGCTAGCCAGGACATCTTATGGAGATTGTATCTCAAAATGGTAAATTTAAAAGGGTTGGGGATGTAGCTCAGTGGTAAAACACCACTGGTTCAATTTGCAGTACTGGAGGAAAAAAAATAGCCAAGAAAAGAAGAAAATGGGAGCAAAGTCCAGGATATATACCAGACACAAAATTTCCATTGTCTTCTCCCTTGGTATCAGGACATGACTCTCCAGAAATCATTATGTGGCAATGTGCACAGAATATTGCCAACCAGGGAAGCTCTGGCGAACCTTGAAATCCAAAGTTGTTGCAAGCAACCAACTTCCACCCTAAAGCTGAGAGACTAGACCAACCTCTGTCCTAAGTCACATAGTTAAAGAGTATCCACGGTGCAAACCTAGTCTGGTGGTACACGCCTGTAATTCTAGCAACTTGGGAGGCTGGGGCAAGAGGATCACAGGTTGAGGTCAGCCTCAGCAACTTAGTGAGAAACACTGTAGCTCAGTAGTAGAACTCCCCTGGATTCATTCCCCAACAAAACACACACACACACACAATTGTCCACTGTGAACCACGGGCCCAGGCAAGGGTACTCCCATTAGGTATAGCATTCCAAGGACCTCAAGATTACCTTCTGGAAGCCCAGGACAAAGGCCAGAACAGAACTTTTCTTTTTTCTTTTCTTTTCTTTCTTTCTTTCTTTATTTGTAGGTGAGCACACAATATCTTTATTTATTTTTATGTGGTACTGAGGATCGAACCTAGAGCTCACACATGCGAGGTAAGCACTTTACCACTGAGCTATAGTCCCAACCCCAGGCCAGAGCTTTTCTTTGGGCAATGCTAGCTTCTTTATACGCACAAGAAGTGATATATTTTATTGCAGAACGCTTAGTGCTGAGGGCATAAAGAAGAAAGCAGAAGCCGCTCATCACATGCTGGCTGGCTGCAGGTTTGCCTTGTTCTCTCCAACCTGTGCTTTGTCCAAAAAGAATCTTTCTTGTCTTTTCATTCTATTTCCTTTCAATTCTGATTTTCTTTTCTTTCTGTTTCCTTACAATTCTGATTTTTGCCCCTGTAGAGAATTTGGTTTTAATTGTCTTTATTTCATCTTTCCAAAGACATTACTGAGTTTTATTCAAGTTGTCCTAATGATTTTCAGGGAAAATAGAGGACTTGGCACTCCCCTCCTCACCCTCCTCACCCTCCTCCTGCGGGTTGTACAAAACTCCATCCCTCCTGTGTTTGTTCATGTTCTCTTTCATCACATAGTCCTCTATTTCTTAGAAGGTAGTGTTTGTTAGTTTTTTGACCACATTTCAAACCATTCAGTGTTCCTGCTCTGTATACTTAGATTAGTTGAAACTTGCTGCCACTCTCTTTTTCCTTAAGTTCTTATGTAAGAAAGTTATGGTAGTAAATGTCTCGAGGCTTGTGATACTTGATAATATTTATTTCTAGTGTTTTTGTTTTGTTTTGTTTTGTTTTTTTGCACTGGGGATTGAACCCAGTGCTTAACTACTGAGCCTGAGACATATCCCCAGCCCTTTTTTATATTTTATTTAGGGACAGGTCTTGCTGAGGCTGGCTTTGAACTTGCGTTCCTGCTGCCTCAGCCTCCAGATCCCTTGGGATTATAGCACGCACCACCATGCCTGGCTTATTTCTGGTGTTTTTAATTTGAACAACAACTTGTCTGAATATGAAGTTCTCGGGTTTTATTGGTGATCAGAGAAAAAGTTCAAAATGTCCTGAGTTTAGTTGCAAGGGTTGGAGGATGGAGTGGAGTAGAGGTGGAGGCTCATCAGTGGTAATTTAGGGCCAGCACACTCCTGAAAGGATGCTGAAACCTGAGCTCTGACGCCTTCCCCACCCCTGGCCCACCACATGCTGTTTGCAGTGCCCTCCATCCAGAAGCGGCAGATTTTCCCAGCTCTTCCTCGCCTCTCTCATTTGCAGCCAGTGTAATATTAATGCAAACAGCTATGCTTCCCTATTTTTGTCATAAGAAATATTCTTGTGGCTGGTATACATTGGTCAGTGATGGAGCTCTTGCTTAGCACAAAGACTACCCCAGCCCTACAACAAAAAAACAATAGAATAAATGCTCTGATCTGCTGGATATTTCTTAACTGCTAACTAGTTCTGCTGCTGGTAGTTGTGGGAACTTGTCCCAAGACCTGGTTTGTTTTTTTTTTTTTTTTTAGGGGCTAGCATTTATAATAGCTCAGTAAGCCCTTTTATTTTAGAGCTTCCTGGGTCTCTCTAGAGTTTTGGTTTAACATAGGTATTATATTAGGCAAGAATCTAAGACTGATGTGATTTTTACAATTTTTGAGAGATTCTTTGACACTTAAGGCTACTATTTGTTTTTAGGTTTGAAATTCCTCTCAAATTATGTCAAAGTGGGGTTTCCTCTTCCAAAAAAAAAAAAAAAAAAAACTTTTTATTTTAAAATTATTTTGCAGTAGAGTTACAAAGATAGTATTGGAAGTTCCCATAGACTTTTCCTCCTAGTTTTCTCTAACATTTAACATCTTAACATAACTAGAGTACTATTATCAAAACTAAGCAGTTAACATTGGTATATACTATTAAACTAAGGATTTTATTTTTATCTCCGGAGTTTTTCCACTACTATCCTTTTTATGTTCCAGGGTCTAATTCAGAATACCATTTTGTATCGGTAAGATGACCACAATTTAATTACAAGGATGGAGAATGGAGAAGGGCAGAGACAAGGAAATTCGTCAGTTAACAGCTGTGGGGATTCCAGTTCACATTCCTGAACAAGTGTTGAAACATGTACTCAAATCCCATCCTAGCCACACAGGGCCCTGGGCCCTGTGTAAGTTTGCAATTCCTGGGCTCCTAACCCCAACCAGTCCAGCAGCATTGGCTCTCCTTGGGCTGCCCTCCTGTTCCAGAGCTTCCTGATTTGATGCTCTGCCTTTCTTATTTTGCAGCCAATCTAGGTTCACTGTAAACATCTTAGGCTTTCCTTCCCTAAATTTGTGTCCTAAAAATACTCTTGGCTGTAGGTCTAGTGGACGTGTTTTCTACTTTTGTCTGCTTTGCTGCTGGTAGTTGTGGAGATGTGTCCCAGAAAACAGCGCCTTTTTTTGCCTGGCATCTGCAACAGCTCAGTAAGCCCTGCTTTTTCAGAGAACTTCAGTCTCAAGAGTTCTCACTCAACAGTATTTAGTTAATATGTCTTATTAATATTCTCCAATCTTAGTTCTTTTTTTATTTTCCGTGACCCTGACGCTTCTGAACAATAATGGTCAGGTATTCTGTAGAATGTTCCTTGATTGGACTGATGTTGTTTCCTGACTAAACTGAGCTTATAGGGTTATCACCGCATTATGTTCACCTTTTAGGTAGGAGATAGGTCAAATTGTATTATTTTTAGATTTTGATCTTTATCTTAAAGTAAGGAAAAAAATGATAAGTTGGCATCTTGGACATATTCTTCTGGCCTTTGTGGGGAGAAATAGTCAAGAGGAACAACAGGGGAAGATGAATGTAGTTAGAAGACTATTAAATAGTGTAGGAGACAGGCTGTATTTGCTTGAACTGGGGATGGAGCACTAGAGAGGCAGAAAAGGAGATAAATTTCCGAGATGTTTCACAGGTGAAATTACAGAGGTTATGGCTCTTGAAGGAAGAACCCTGCAGAGATGACGTGCCCTTCTCCTTGTGAGACTTTGGGGTGCCTGGCACAATGTGATTTTACCGATGATGTTGACACTGATCACTTGGTGAAGATGGTGTTGGCCTGGTTTCTGCACGGTAAAGTGATTTTCTCTCCATTTCCTTATTCTCTTAGGAAAGAGTCCCTGTCTCGTGCCTTCAGGGGAAAGGGGATTAAGCATCCCCTCTTGAAGGGGAGCATCAAAGAATTGGGATGTGTTAGAACCAGCACAGCATTAGCAGGTGTTTGGAGAATTGCTCTGAGGTGTGCAGATGTCCACCTGACCCTTAACTTTAGACAGTTAACTTAGTATTCATCAAGGGGTCTTTCCTGCAGTGATTATCAACTGAGGTACAATTGCCTAATGGTGATTTTTTTCCCCCCTCCTTTTTTCTATAAGAAAAGTTGTCTGTTATTTATTCAATTGCATATATCCTGTGATAGTGGGGAATACATATTTGGTCTTCATCTCTATTTCTAAACAACTCAAAATCCTCGGACTCTCTGAAGATTATTTTTGTATGCTAATGAGTTGACTGATATCTGTGTCCTCTAGGTGGCTTAAGAATGGGGCTGATCACCAGGAACCCCAAGGCAGGATTGGGGGCTGAGACCTTCAGCCTACACTGGCTCTGGGGAAGAGAGAAGAGCTGAAGGGTAGTTGATCCCCAGTGGCCTGTGTGTTCATCAGTTATGCCTATGTAGTGAAGCGTCATAAAAACCCAGAAGGATAGGATTTGGAGGTTCCAAAAGCCGACTGCAGCTTCCTGGAGGGGAGTGCCATAGAGAGCTCCCTGCCCCTCCTCTTGTGCCTTCCTCTGTGCAATTTTTCATCTCTTATCTTTTATCCTTTATAATAAACTAAACATTAAGTGTTTCCTGGGTTCTGTAAGCCAATCCAGCAAATTAATGGAACCCAAGGAGGGTTGTGGCAACCTGAATTTCTAGCCAGACTGTTAGAGGCACAGGTAAAACAACCCTGGGCTTATGAAGGGGAGAGCAGGGAAAAGGCAAGGGCTGCTGAAAACCACAGGGAGCCTTACCTGATTGCCGCAGTCTGGCTAGGCACAATTCAGGAGCCACTTGTCAAAAGAAACGAACTTTATTTTTAGAACACACACACCAAACCACACAGCTCCTCAGGAAAAACCTTCAGAGCCCAACTGCCATCACTGGCTTCCCACAAGCCTCTCAACCTCCCCCACTCCTCCTGCTCTTGAGGCTGATTGGCTGGGTCGCGTGGGCAGAGCCAAAAAAAGTCCCCCAGTGAGCAGCTCCGTGGTCTGAAAGGGCGGGGAAACAGCCCAATGAGCATCACCACAGAGGAGCCAATCAGTTGGCAGCTAGAAGTTTGCTGGGGCCACTGTGAGCCAATCATCAGCTGGCAGCTGGAAGTTTGCTGGCAGCTGGAAGTTTGCTGGGGCCCCTTCGGCTGTGGCTCTCAACACCTGATAAGCACCTGGAGGCTCTCTATGTCCAGCCAAGGTCACATTCTTGGCAGAAAAGCTGTTTCAGGGTCTTGTCACATTCTATCACGTGGCATGGACCTTCCCTTATCTCAGCCCCCAATCACCTTGGCAACTAAAACATCAAGACCCTCACAAAGAAAGCTTGCTGAGGGCCTTTCAAAGGGGGGCAGGAAACTGAGGCAAAAGCAGGGGGAGTCAGTTTTCTTAAAGTCCCCGACTCTGAGCACCACACCATCCTCTCCTGGAGACAGGCAGGTGGTCAGTCCAGGCAGCTAGTGTGCTATCAGTCAAAAGTAAGGAGATGGGCCTGGGCAGAGTTCCCTGGAAACTGCTCTGACCCCCGGCAACACTGGAAGGCAGAAGGCCTTCTGTCCCTCTCCTCTCTGAGAGGACCCGCTCTCTCCCTTCTAACAGACTCAGGCCTGTTACCCTGGAAAGCAACAGCTGAGCAGTCTGGGGTTTGGAGAGCCAGCCTGCAGGGTCGAGCCCTCAGTCTGAGGCCCGAGGCTCCCTCCAGTAGGCAGCATCAGAATGTTGGATTGGGGGACACCCAGTGGTGTTCACTGCTGATGTAGCCTTGCGTACTTGGTAGCAGGAAAAACCATATGTACCCTGGACGTTTACAAGGAATTGAGTTTGTTTTTTCCTGTACAATCCATAGAGTCTTATGGTGATTTTATTCTTCGGGTTCCCTCTTTTAAAAACTTTTTTTTTTTTTTTGGTCTGAAATATGGTAACATAATTGTCAGATTGAGTTTTTGTTTCTCTTTTTAAAAATGGAATGAATTTTCTTCTAAAATTTTGTTGATTTCTCCTGTTCAACTTCACACTCCCCCTTCCTATTATATGAAGATTGGTTTTTCTGAAGACATTTATTTATAGAGGATTCTTAAAACAAAATTTCAGAATACTAATTTTTAGCTATTGCTCCCTTTTTCTCAGTAGGTTTCTTTGTTTTTTGTTTTTTGTTGTAGACGCTAAAATACATATCAAAAACACCGTGCAGACACCAGAGTCCTGAAATTGTCAGAGAATTTCTTACAGCAATGAAAAGCCACAAGTTGACCAAGTAAGTGAAGATCAGCCGAGTGGACGAGAGGGACACGTGGTGAAAGTGAAGGCTTCCCAGGGCTGCCCTTACTACTGTGTGGCTACGACGCCCTGGGATAAAACAGCTAAGAGGTGTACAAGTGCTTCGGGAGCAAGGACAGAACCTCATGTTTGTCTCAAAGTCCTTCTTGGGGTCCCAGTTCACATGGCCTAACCCTCTACCTCCTCCGAGTGATCAGGCCAGATTGGATTGAAAGGTTCACAGTAAGGTCATTTGATACTTGGGTTGGTATGAGGCAAAAGTGCCTATAATGTTCTCTCTGCTCTTGCTGTGTCCAGTTACTTTTGGTCTTTCAGCTTATAAAAATTAACATCACTATAAATCGAGTTTACATGAGAAAAAAACTACCTAAGTTTTCTACACCACCCCAGCACTAGTTTTTATCAGTTAAGACTGGGAGGGCTTAACACAGGTATCTCCCGTCTTCAAGGGATTGTCTGTCAGGTAAGGCTCCCTGTGATCTTCAGGGGTCTTCCTGCTCCTCTGCTTACCCATTCATGGCTGACTAGCATATGGGTGGGGCCTTTAAGGACGTCAGTCTCTAAATTCTTTTAGGGTATTTGGGCCTGATTCAGACTGACTGCCTCCTGCTGGGAGAGAGTGAAGTTGGGGGAGGGCCATGGGCAGTCCAGGGTTCCATGTGGGGGTGGGCGGGTGATTGGACAGGGATCCTGCTAGGACAACAATAAGAAAGCAGAAAAGCATTGTTTTCTGCAGACAGCACAGAAGCAATCAGTTTTACCATCCAGTCCCTGGAAACCGAGAAGATAGTAACTCACTGAAGCTTATGGTGGGGTCCAAAATATCATTAATTTTAATACTAGTGCTGATGAATTCCAGTAGCTTTTGTTGTATCATTCAGGGTAATGGATGATTTTCTTTTGGAGGGACAGTGTAGTGTTATTTCTGGCACACAGTTGCTATACAACCAGTAAACTAAGAACGCTCCTCACCTGACCTCTCTCCTTGAAAAGAACTCTGAAGACAAACATCTTGCATGTGTGTGTATGTGTTATATATATTTTATTTTTCACTATGGTAAAATATACATAATACCACTTTAAGTATAATATTGATAAGTATTATATAGCCAATATCTAGAACTTTCTCGTCTTCTGAAACTGAAATTCTGTGTATCTTAAACAGCTCCCCATTTGCTCCTTCCCTGTCCCTGGCAACCTTCATTCTTCTATTTTTGTGAATTTGACTCCTTCGTATAAGTAGAATCATATAGTATTTGTCTTTTTTTAAAAAAATATGAGTATTGTTTAATCTCCCTTATTTTTTCACCATTTTAACTGTTTTTAGGTGGGTGTTAGGGGTAGTAAATGTATTCACACTGTACAGTTTTCACTGCCATCTATCCACAGAACAGTTTCCATCTTTCAAAGCCAGAGTTCTACCTGTTTAAACAGGACCCCTGCCCTCCTAGCCCCTGGCAGCTGTCACTTTGCATCTGTCTCTGCACCTGAGGACCCCTGAGTCCCTCCAGGGAGTGCGTGTGTGCAGTGTTTGTCCTTGTGCCTGGCTTGTTCAGCTTAGTGTCTTCAAGGGTGTCGTGTTGCTGCTTGTGTGGACACTTTTTTTTTTTCTTCAAGGCTGAATGATATTCCATGTTATATATAAACCATATCTTGTTTATTCAACATCCAGTATGTATACTTGTATACATCAACTTCTGTCTATTGTAAATAATGCTCTTAGAAACATGGGTATACAGTTAGCTCCTTAAGATCCTGCTTTCAATCCAGGTGCAGTGGCATTCACCTGTAATCTCAAAGTTCAAAGCCAGCCTCAGCAAGTTATTGAATTCCTAAGGAACTTAGCGAGACCCTACATAAATACAAAAAAGGGGCTGGGGCTGGGGCTCAGTTGTTAAGTACCCCTGGGTTCAATCCCCAGTACCAAAAAAAGATAACCCCATATTTATTTATTTGTTGGTACTAAGGATTGAGCCCAGCAGTGCTTTACCACTGAGCTGTGCCCTCGGTCCTATCTATCTATCTATCTATCTATCTATTTATTTATTTGAGGCAGGGTCTTCCTAAGTTGCTGAGCGTCTTGCTAAGTCATGATCCTCCTGCTTCAGCCTCCCACGTGGCTAGGATTACAGGCACCCAACTCTTTTTTTTTTTTTTGAGAGAGAGAGAATGAATTTTTAATATTTATTTTTTAGTTTTTGGCGGACACAACATCTTTGTTTGTATGTGGTGCTGAGGATCGAACGCGGGCCGCACGCATGCCAGGCAAGCGCGCTACCACTTGAGCCACATCCCCAGCCCCCCAACTCATTTTTTTAAAAAATGTTTTTAGTTATACATGGACACGATATCTTTATTTTTATGTGGCGCTGAGGATCGAACCCAGTGCTTCACATGTGCGAGAATGAGTCACATCTTCCTGGTTGGGATAATTTTAAGTAGTGTCCTGGGCATTTAAAATATTATATTTAAGTAGTTGAGTCTCTGACTTCTGTTAAGCCTCTGGTCGATGTTATTCTTCCTGTTGGAGTGAGCAGTCAGCCCACTTAGGCTCAGACCTCAGGCCAATCTACCTTCCAAGGGCAAGGATTGCCACATCTGCTCAGTTTCTGAAGTCTGGGCTGTTTTGGGTCTTATTTTGCATGACGGTTTGATTTGCTCAGTGGCAGTGTGTTTTCTCTGCTGGTGTGGTTGTCATTGGGGCTGCCCTTGGGGTGCAGCAGGGAGAGAGCAAAGAAAGGGAAACGGGGCACTTTGCACCTGAAGGTCTCTTCCTGCTGCTGTTTCTCTGCTGGGGAGTTGCCCTTGAGTTAGGAAATTCATCTGGATTTTCACACCGGATTTCTCTTGAAGTTTTCTTAACTACTTGTGAGCCACCCTAGGTCCAAGGACCTAAGAGGAGTGTGGGTAAGAAATTCATTTCCATACTCTCCCCAGTTGTTCTTTATCTGTTGTTTCCCTCAATCCACCTGCTTTGGCTTGCTTTACAGAGTCCTCAGGCTATTGCTTTTATATTCTGTCCAGAGATTTTCACTGTAATCAGTGGAGAGACAGGCCTTAGTGGGCTTATATCATCTTGTCTACAAATTTTTTTTGTCAGTACTGGAGATTGAACCCAGGGCCTTGCATATATATGCTAGGTAAGCACTTCACCATTGACCCACATCTCCAGCCATTTTTTTTCCGTTGCCCCCCCATCCCTACCCCTCCTTTCCCTTTCCACAGGGTCTTGCTTAAATTGCCCAGACTGACCTTGAACTCAAGATCCTCCTGTCTCAGTCTCCTGAATAGCTGGGATTGCTGGCATGCACCACAGAACAGCACTCACTTTGTAGTAGAAGTCTTTTTTTTACACAATAGAAATCTTTTTTTTTTTTTTTTTTAAATATTTATTTATTTATTTTTCGGTGGACATAACATCTTTGTTTGTATGTGGTGCTGAGGATCGAACCCGGGCTGCACGCATGCCAGGCGAGCGCGCTACCACTTGAGCCACATCCCCAGCCCCCACAATAGAAATCTTAATGGTTGATTTTTAAGGGTTTTTTGTTGTTGTTGTTTTTTCTCAGCTAATTGTCTGGCTGTGTTTAGCTTCCTAATCTTCCATCTTTTTCACTAAATATGGATGTGGCTACGGTTCAAGAAAGCTGCAGATAGAAATAACCCTGAAAAGTGATCCTTGACTGCAATCTGCGTAAGTTTGGAGGATTAATTTTAGCTCTGTTTTCCATTTGAACCCCAAACTGAGGATTTATAAAGTCCTTTGTGGCCTTTTAATCTCTGCCTTTTATTAAATTGGTCCTATAGGGCTCAGGATGGTTTCAGTGGTAGAGTACTTGCCTAACATGCCCTGGGTTCAATCCCTAGCATTGCAAATAATAATAACACAACAATAATAAATAATAAATTGGCCCTCTGACTACTAGAGCAGAAGCTGCAATCAGGGTTGCACAATACAGGAGAGGGAGCCAGCAGACTTTTTTCTTCATGGCTAGGTCCTGGCTCCTGGCTGAGGCTGGCTTTGAACTTGTGATCCTCCTGCCTCAGGGGATTATAGGCAGTGGCACACCAGCTTGTTTATGCCTTGTAAAAGATAGATAGAAAAAGTGGCAGTCGTCTTTTGACAGATGCCTTTGTCCTACAACCAAGAGGTCAAAGTGGCCTTTAAAAATGGTGAGGAGCCCTCAGACATCTTAAAATAGATACCATCAATCCTGGGCACAGTGGCACATGCCTATAATCCCAGCGGAGTGGGAGGCTGAGGCAGGAAGATGACAAATTTGGAACCAGCCTCAGCAGTTTAGCAAGGCCCTAAGCAACTTAGCAAGACTTTGTCTTTAAATTAAATATAAAAAGCTATGGGGATGTGACCCAGTGGTTAAGTACTCCTGGATTCAATCCCTGGTACCAAAAAAAAAAAAAGAGATACAGTCAGTCATGTTTGCCTTGGGAGTGGGTGAGAGGGAAGAGTTGGAGACATCTGGTCTCCAGTCTTCAAGCCTGGGTGTTTGGCTCTTCACCCATATGAGGAGTACAGAGGGCTGTTGGTCTGTCGGGTCACCCAGGGACATGTCCAGCTCAGAGGGTCTGAGTGGAGATGTGCTGTCAGCACGGAGGTGTGGCTCTCTTCATGTACCTTGAAGACATTGGATTTTGGGGGCACGAACTATAGTAGCTGTTGAGATTGTGAGGTGTGGGTGAGGAACTTGGGGGGAGGGTCAGAAGGTGCAGGGTGCATTGTGGGATGACAGAGACAAGCAAGAGAAGAGGAACCCAGGGAGAGGGAGAACTGGGGAAGAGTGGCGCTGTGGGATCCTGGGGAGAGACTGGTCAGCAGAGTCAAACGGCACAGTCAGAATAGACTGGAGATAACTGAGTGAACTGAGAAGGCTATAGAGATGGTGGGAGAGTTTCTTCTGAGCCTGTAGCATGCAGGTCTGTGGTTTTACTCCAGCAGTGCACGGCTTTGTGGTATGGGACAGGAATTTCCTTGGTTGGCCCAGAGTTGGGGGTCTTTCAGAGTGTGGCACTGAGCTTTTCCAGGAGTTCAGAGCCTGGCAGAATAAGGACAGTTGGAACTGCGTTCTGCTGCTTTGGCTGATTAGGAGAGGAGATACTCTTTTGTTCCGCTATACCTTTTTTCTGTTCCTATTCTTTTTTTTTTTTTTTTTTTTTAAATCCATACTGTTGTGTGGTTGCAAAACAAGAAATTCAGAAAAGCCACCATAGTTTTGTTTTGCACAAGGGCTCAGATTCCATCTCACCTGGGCCTTCAGCACTGCCTCTGGTCTTCTCTCGGGGCCTCACCTCACCAGATTCTCTGCAGCATCTGGTCCATGTTGTCCTTCACTCCCAGCCCTCCCGGGGTCGCTTCACTTGTGCTTCCCTAGAGGTGGTCCAGAAAGCAGTCACACCTTTCAGAGCCCCTCTCCATGTTCCTGTGATCTTGGTGGAGCACCAGCCCACAGTCATTCTTCAGTCCCTACAACCCAGTTGTCAACACCACTGATACCAGTGAACTGCTTACACAGACCGCCAGTGACCTCTTTGGGCAAATTCAGTGACTTCTTCACTATTAACCTCCTTACTTCCCTGCAGCACTTAACATTGCTGGTGATCCCTCTGTCTTGATATGTCCTCTCTGGGCTTCCCTGACACCACCCCAGGTTGTCTTCTCTCCTGGCCCTGAAGTGGAGGTGTTCTGTGCTGCTCTGCCCTGGGTCTTCATCTGCTCCACAGTTGGTTTTGGGTCACAGTGTGGTTTCACTTATTAACTTTCTTTGCATGTCTAGATCTGGTCTTTTTTTTTAGTTAATTCTAGACCAGATTTGATAAACTCTTTGACAGACACTTATTCATAATAGTCATTAAACTTCTGCAAACGCAGTTTTAAATAATTTTTTTTCCCAAGCATTGAGGCTAACCTCGACTCTCCTGCTTCCTTTACCCTGCCTCATCCTCACTCTTGCTAGGCAGGTGGCAGATCTGGATGATTCTTCCTGAGGGTGACCAGGAGCATTTTGTGTGTCAGGTTCTCACTGCCATTCCTCCTGCTGCTGCTGCAGGGTTCACAACCTCACCTTCTCACCTGGGAGTCTTCCAGTGGTTTCTGCATTTGTCCTGGAACTGCTGCCAGCACCAGCCAGAGTGCGGTGTTCCTTTCCTTTTTGCCGCTCAGTTCTACAAAGTAGCGTCCAGCCTCAGTCTCGTACATTCCTAGCAGCCTAAAACTCTGAAAACTTTTACTGTTCTGGGTATTCACCTTTGTTCTTGCTCTTCCATCTCTTTAGCCTAGAAAATCCTTCAGGGCCCCGTGCAAAGGTCATCTGTTTTGTGAGGTCCCCTTTTTGAGTCTACAGTCAGTAAGGGATTAAGAGGAGGAGAGCAGGCTACAGCTGCCTTAGGAATGGCCACCATTTACAGAAGCACTGTTGTGGGACGGCCTCTTGATGAACACTTTCCCATGTTGTCACATTTCTGCGAGAGTCAGAGGTCCGGAGCTTGAGCTTTGGTGCAGAGCCCAGCTCTTCCTGTACTAGCTGTGTAGCTGTGGACAGGTTATTTCCTGTCTCGGCCTCAGTTGAGTCCAAGGGTTAAATGTGATAACCACGTGGAAACAAGCAATAGACGGTTGCTGCTGACACACTCAGTAGGAGATTATCAGCCCTCATGACCCTCTCCTAAGTGCTAAGCTCTGTTACCAACCCTGTTTCACCCGTGGTGGACTGGAAACAGGACACTGAGTGACTTGCACTGCTTCTCCCAGCACGTAGCTGCAGGAGTGACGACTTGTCTTCTCACTCACAGTGTGTCTGAGTGCAGTGAACCTTGCCAAACTGAATCGCAAGATGGGTCTGAATCTCCAGAGTTGGAGAGGGGGAACTTTAGAAATTATTCCTGCACAGGGGTGGCAATTAAAGTCCCCTTTCTTTTGAAGCCCTTTCACCTTTTCAACCCCACCAGCAGTAGCTGTGTGTGCCTTTGTGACAGAAGAGACATGTTCTCTTTCACCCTTTTCTGAAATTTTTATTTTGGAAATTTTCATATAATATAACCTCTTTATAATTTTGTGTATTAATTTCTGTCCCTTTATAGTACGTTTTTTGTTGTTGTTGTTGTTGTTGTTATTGTGTTTTTTTCCTAAGATAGCAGATCAAATCTTAGTAACATTTTGTCTTATTCTCAAAAAGATATTTTCAACCATCTCTAAGTAATGACCAACCAATGTATTTGTTTATTTTCTTTAAATTGGATTAAGAAAGTACTATTTTCTTCACGTTTTCTAGATGAAGCTTACTATGTCAAATGTGGTTTTTAAAACCATACCTTTCCTGTCACTCCATTTCTTGCCCTCCCTTCTCTCTGCCTTTTAGGGCCCTGGAACACACCTATGCTGCACTTTCCTGTACCCTTCTCTCATTTTACAGCTGAGCCAACAGGGGGCCTCCTTACAGTGTGTCTCAGTTCATGTCTGACCAAGCCCAGGGTATAAGAGTCTAAATGCTCTGTGCTTTCTCCTGACAGGGCTGAAAAGCTGCAGCTGCTGAATCACAGGCCTGTGACTGCTGTTGAGATCCAGCTGGTGAGTGAGAATCTTGGGCTCCAGAGTGTTTTCTGGGTCTGGAATCTGGAAGGGCTAAGCAGGAACTGCAGTTGTTTTGAAGAGTCTGCCCAGTCCCCGTTTTGTAAGAGAAAAGCGACCTTACCAGTTTGATCCTAGTTAGAATAGACTCAGGGAAAGTGCAGGAATTGGAGGAGGTTTGATTTCTCCCGTGGAGTTTGGCAGCTCTTTGCTGTCATGTTCTGGGCCATTCTGGCCATTGTTTCTCTGCCTAGTGGAGGTTATCTCCCCCTGTCCCTCCTTTCCTGGTTAGTGGTGCATGTGTATGTTTTCCCACACACTCATCCTCTCTCCTGGCCTCATCTCTTCAGCCAGAAACCTGGAAGTCATCTCTCCCCTCATCTCACATTCAGTGAGTCCCCTCTCCTGTTCCTCCCACCTCCCACCTGCCTGTTCTTTCTTCTCTCCCTGCTTCACGGCATTGATTTCTGTTATTGTTTCTTAGCCCTCCTCTTGCAGTTGTCCTCCCCCGTTCTCCCTGCCTCCTATGTGGTCCCCTGCAGTTCCTTCCTCTATGCCATGATCATAGATCATCTTTTAAGCCACAAGTGTGATTGCATTTCTCTGCACAGAGCTATTTGGTGGAGCCAGCATTTGTAAATTCCACATTGGGAATTTGCTTTAGAACTGGGGAGGGCAGCCAGATTGGGAGCCCTGAGGTGGTATGAGGAGACCGTGAGAATGAGGTCCAGTGATAAAGGAGTGACTGATCTGCTGGTACACCGAAGCAGCTTCCTTCTGGGCGTGGCAGTGTGCTTCAGTAAGCTACAGGTACTGAGCAGAGTCTCTGACCATCATTAAAAAAAACTTCAGTCTAAAGAGTTAATACAACAGCAGTAAAGCCATTTCTGCGGGGCGGGTGACGTATGCCTATAATCCCAGTGGCTTAGGAGGCTAAGGAAAGAGGATTATAAATTCAAAGCCAGCCTCAGCAAAAGCTAAGCAACTCAGTGAGACCCTGTCTCTAAATAAAATACAAAATAGGGCTGGGGATGTGGCTCAGTGGTTGAGTGCCCCTGAGTTCAATCCCTGGTACCCTCCCCTCCAAAAAAAGAATAAAGCCATTTCCAAAGTTACTTTTATAGGAATACTCAGCTTTTTGTGAAATTCTCCATAGAAAAATATGCAAGAAAATGATTTAAAAAAAAAAAAACCTATGTTCTCTGGATTCTCTTGTTGCAGTTTTTCTTCAGAATTTTGACTAAAACCCTCATTGTCTTCCCAGAGTTGTTTCTGTTCTTCAACATGTGCCCAAAAATAAATTAGAAAAATTCCTTCCATTAGCATGCCTTTCTGGATGAATTGGCCTTTAGGCTAAATAGAGGTAATTTTTTTAAAGTATCCTCATTATTCTGATACTTTAGACTGTTGGGAGATTCAATTTACAGGACAGAAAAAAACAAAACAGTAAGAAACTAATCCCTGCCCCTCAGGGTCACAGATCACATGTCCTGTCTCCTCCAGCTTTAACCAGCAGCACATGGTACTCAGGCTGAGGACAGATGGAGAAGAGGAGGACAGCATGACCTCATCCCAGAGTCCATAGAAAGTTCTGTCATTAGTTGGTCAGATTAGCTGGACTTAGTGCCCTCACCCTTGTGTAGGAAGGGACAGTGTTCTCTCCACTTAGCCCAGAGGTTTGGAGTGTGGCCCATTAGGTCTCATTCAGAACCTCCCCTTGGTTCCTCCAAGCCGTGTATTTTTGTCCTGTGTATTAATCAGGGTTCTGGAGAGAGAGATGAAAGGATTTGGAGAGTGGGTCATGTGATTATGGAGGCCTAGAAGTTTCACACATCTGGGGTACCAGCAACGTGGCTCAGTCCATATATGAAGGCCTCAGAACCAGGGAAGCTGATCAGGTGACTCGGAGACTGAAGGCTGAGAATTCAGGGGCTGCTGGCGTGAGTCTTGAAGTTCAGAGACCACAGGACCTGGAGTTCTAATGTCCAAGGATAGGAGAAGACTGTCCCAGCTTCAGGAGGGAGAGTCCATGGCGTCCCCAGCCAGCTAGATGGTGCTTACTGACCTCAAAGGTGGATTTCCCCCTCCAGCTCACACACCAGTCTTCCAGGAGCACCCTCAGAGCAGTGCCTTGCCAGTCCTCTAGGTGTTCTTGGTACAGTCAAGTTGACACCTGAAGTCAGCTGACACAGCTGGAGAGAAGAAAGTCTCTTCTCCCTTCCTCAGAGAGGTAGGCCTTGATCAAAACTCTTTCTGAGCAGTCGGACCATTGCATAGCCAGATTCCTCCCATCCTAGGGTCTAGCTGCAGAAGGTAGCAGGTCATTTGCCAGGGCCTCTAGCCACATTTCCTCACTACAAAAGAATGAGAAGGGAGGCATTCACAGTGGAAATGCAAGGACTGGAGACTTTCTCTGTGTTGAACTCAGCACTATGGGTTCTTCCTTAGTCCAGAAAGTATCCTGGCTCCCAGTGCTTGTTGGTATTGGGTTGGGAGCAGGCATCTTGGAAGCTGAGACTCACTGGTCTGGTTGTGCCTTGACAGTGGCTTTGACATTCTGGTGACTGCCTGTGGCTGGGTCTGTGGGAAGTGGGGCTGTCTCATGGCTTCTAGCACTCCCTGCCTGGCTTAGAGACACTGATGCACCTTCTCTTTGCTTTGGTTTTACCTTGGAGAAAGCTGCAGTCAGAGAAGGTAGTCAGCTGTTGTTAACACAGCGAGAAGTGACTGTTGGGGCCACGGGTTGGGCGTCCCTTGTCTAAGATGCTTGGGACCACAGTGTTTTTCATTTTGGAATATTTGTGTGTACGTGATGATACCCTGGGGACAAGCCCGCATCTTCACCCAGGCTGTTCATGCTTCATAGCACCCTGTGCTGCGTCTTTGCTGAGCCTCCATTGTAACTACAGGCTGTCACGTGTGGTCAGTGCAGGCTTTTCCACTAGAGGTGTCATGTTGGCACTCAGAAAGGGTTTCACTTGTTTTGAGGAAAGGAATGCATTAGGCTTGGCACCTTAAAATGAGAAACAGCCATGTTTGGAGTCCCAGTCCAGTTGGACAGACCCTGGGGATTAATATAATCATTGTATGTAATAAAAATTTGTCATGACCCATCTGCCAGTACTTTGGATAGCTAACTTAATTTGCCTTTATATTCTGAATAACTGGAAACCCTTGGTATCAGAGAATATTAGTGTGCTGCTTTGTGCTTCCTTATTCAGGCTCTGTTTCTCTGTGTTGGAAGGAAAAGGTGAGGCATGGTGTAGCTGTCACTTATTCCACTGATCCAAGAGCTGTTAATACATTTCTTTCTAAAACTTCTTTGTGTATGTTTTATTTAGCTCAATGCAGCTTAGGATTTCTTCTTGTGACTGGGAATCTTGGACTGGAACAAAAAAAAAAAAAAGGTTTTCTGACTCTGATGACCCCTGGGGTTTGCGTGCTGGCAGAAGCTTCTGCTCTTGCCAGGTTTGCCATTTTGCTGATAAACACAACTAGGTGACACCTGATCAGAGTTGCATGTGCCAAGCCAGAGACGAGGATGGAAGAAGGTGGCCTCTCTGGTTTTCTAAAGAAGAAGGCCCCCAGAGGACACATAGCCAGACTTTCAAACCAGTGGGCTATAGTCTGTGTATAGCATCTTTGAGAGAGGAAAATGATTAACCTCCTGTGGAGGCCATGGCATTCTACTGAGCTGCCATTTAGCACCAGAAGACCTCACGCCTACTTGTTGAGCCCAGGTGAAGTTTTTCTTAGAAAAAACTCCCATGTCCTGACTGTGTGCCGGGCTTTGGAGAAACACTGGTATCTGTGATTGGAGGAGGGCCTCCGACACAGGGAAGCACTGTAAACTATTGGGAGGCTCTTTCTCAGCTGTCCAGACCAATGGCTTTACACCTGGAGACATTTTTTTGTTGTAAAATAAATAATCAAATTGTGTGTCTCCCTGCTTCCCTCATTCTTTGGGGGAGTCTATATTTGATTACTGCTGTCACAGGACCTAATTTTGCATGTCTAATTTTAAAAATGCATTTTTGAACTGGGCATGGTGGAACACACCTGTAATTCTAGCTACTGAGGCAGGAAGATCGCAAGTTCAAGGCCAGCCTGGGAAAATCACACCCTTTCTCGAAATTAAAAAATAAAAAGAGCTGGGGATGTAGCTCAGTAGTAAAGCACTCTGGGTTCAATTTCCAATGCAATAAAAATAAATAAAGAATGGGCTGGGGTTGTGACTCAGTGGCAGAGCACTTGCCTAGCACATGAGAGGCACTGGGTTCCATCCTCAGTACCATATAAATAAAATAAAGGTATGGTGTTCATACTACTAAAAACCAAATATTTGGAAAATATGTATTTTTGAGGATTGTTCTTGATCAGCAAAGAAGTTGCATTTTACTGAGCCACTGAATCATCAGAAAATGTCATTGTATTTCACTGCATGAAGGAAAGTAGCCGCTATTGGTTTGCTCAGGATCTTTCCCATTGTGATACCAGGGACAATTTTCTAGTTGTGGAGAAGCTGTTTGGCTGCTTTGTCAGGAGAGAGTGGTGTGCTCTTGGACTTGTCTGGTAACTTCTCTAATTTTTGTGCTATCATCTTGAAATAGGACAGTCAGAGGTTCTCTGAGGACTGTAAACCTTGTTTTACTTAAATCTGCCAGGATTTCTTTCTGGAATTCCTTTGGTACCTGTTGCCAGGTTTCAAGAGATTGCTGTGATACATACCATAGAACAGGCCCTCAGTCGGGAAGGTAGAGTCGAGAAAGGTGTGGTGACAGATGGTCCAGGCCCCCTTGTGTACAGATTCAGTTCAAGATCCAAACCATCATGTGAAGGGTGTGAGGTGGTGGGCACTAGACTCGCGTGGGCGGGGCTTCAGATTCCAGTTCTGCCCCTGGCTAGGATTGCTGTGAGGGTTAAAAGAAGATAGTAGTCTTCATGCACAATGTGCATCCCCGGGTACATGGGAGGCCCCCCAAGGGATCTCCTGAGTGCTA